ACAAGAATGAAAAAAAATATTCTAAAATTGATTGTGGTGATGATTTAACAACTCTTTTTAATACGATTGAACTATTAAATTGTATGACATGTAAATTATAAAACAATAAAAATGTATTTTTTAAACCAGCAGTTTGGGTTGAGGTTCACCTTGGTTTCCTTTCAAATTTTCTTTGGAAAATAAAATAAAAAAAAATAAGTGTTCTGAGTTTTAGGAACAAAAATAAATCCAAAAGGGGAACGATCAAAGGTATAGGGTGAATTGAGTATGGTTTCCCAGTAAATTATCAAAGGGCAGCCCTTACTACCTTCAGAAAATGAGCACGTTCATTGTCATGAAGCAAAATTCCTTGGAGAACTTCCCTGCCTTTTCTAATGAATGCAGTTTTCAGTTGTCTTAAAATTCTTCATACCAGGAGGGGAAGAGGAAGGGTGGGGGAGAAAGGGGAAATAGATCACAAGGATCTACATATAACCTCCCTCCCAGGCGAAAGACAACAGAAAAGTGGGTGAAGGGAGAGATATGAAAAAATAATAATAATCTCTAAATTATCAAGGATTTCTGAGGGAGGGAGAGTGAGACGGGAGGGGGGCGATGAGGAGCTGATACCAATGGCTCAAGTAGAAAGAAAATGTTTTGAGAATGATGATGGCAACAAATGTACAAATGTGCTTGACACATGGATGGATATATGTGTTGTGATAAGAGCTGTATGAGCCTCCAATACAATGATTTTTAAAAATCAACAAAACTTCTTCGTTGTAAACCCCCATGTTTTTTCTTTCTTTCTTTTGTTAGAAAATCCATCAAAATTAGCTCATGGGAAACTCCAAAAATATCCACCATAACATTCTGAGCTCCCCTTTCTGTGTTGAATTGAACTGACCTAGTAGATCCCTTTGGAAGCAACTATTTTGAATATACTGAATCTCCCCCCTAAAGAGACAAAAACAAATCTATTCTTGAGAGAACTTGTCTGCAGGCATCCACTGATCACAGACAGGTGCATAGACATTCATTTGCAATAAGACTATGAAAGTATAAATTGGAACCCTAATAGCAATACTCTTTAACTTGTCATCGTGTTATTATATTTATATAGATACATATTCCCAAATCTATTTTACATCTATTCCTATTTTACATCTATTTCTATTTTATATCTATTATCTTCTTCTACACCTATGCCTATACAAGCCACTAAGTCAATGCTTACAGGTCCATCTAATTTTACCTCCACCTCTATATCTATCTGAGCACATCTTTTCAACAACTATAATGCCCCGCCATGGCTA